AGGTCTTCAGAAAGCCTGGGAGTATGAATGCAACATCTCTTTAAAACAGACACATATTTTTTCAGGTTTCCAATGCAGTTGTTTAAAGAGGTGCAGCATACACACGCTGGTACATTCCAAACATCTCTTGTAGCTCATTATTGTAGCTCGTGCAGCCCTGATACTGTCTTATAAATGATGCACCAGACCAATAGAACTTCCCTTTGAAATGTGTGTAATTTTGTTACCATCATTTAGAAAAGCAACAATAAAAATTCCTAGGCATAATAGTATTCTCCTACAACCCCTTTCATTTAAATAGAGATGGATAGAAAACATACTTCTGCATCACATCTATTGCAAATATTTAATTGCCTTATTAGAGCACACAAAGATTGCACATTGTAGGAAAAGCTGGGCCATAAAAGTCAATAAAGCATAAAAAGTGTCCAGAATCCTTATCGTATAGAAAAGGGGTGTCCAGATTGCATGCAATCTGCCTTGATAAATCATTTCACTGCATTAAGAAGGGCTTTTAAGCAAGCACCAAGCCACTGTTGCCAAGGGAAGCAAAGTAGCACAGCTGCCCCACCATATAGGAGCCGAGCATCACTTCAATTCATAGAAGCATTCTGAAGAGACACTTGGCTCAATTCTCCATCAAAGTGAAGAGCCCCTTTGAAAATCTCTACATAGCCTTCTGTAGATGCTGTGCAGATGGAAAGGAATAGATTGCGCTGATGTAACTATACATCTGTATAGTTTGCATTTCTCACAAGGGGAGGGCCCCATGAAATTATTTACTGTCAGTTGCAGTCCCATTCTAATGAGCTGCTGTTAAATGAAGCTGACTGAATAGAAGATGAAATGTCTTTTGGATGATGTGAAGACTGATTTATTTCTATGGAGATAACATCAGAACCAGAACTTCAAAATTCTATGCAGTGTATCTAATTATTTTAGAGGCTGTTTAGTACAGAACATAGTCCTTTCAAGTCAGGCAGAAACTGTTTTACTAAAACCTAGGGATGCTAAACTATTTCATTTGGACCTCATTTCAGAGTAAACCAACCTGATCCAGATTAATGGATCCAGTACGGACTGAAATGCAGTGATTTTTTTTTTTCTAACGTTCCCTAATATCTCCACAGTCATTCTCATCTCAAAACACATACATAAAAATGCACCGTTTATGATAAAAACATATTAGGATAAAATAGTTTAAAAATAGATGTCTAAGAAAATATGTAAAAATAAATAAGCATGCATTTAAAGATATTTCATATTATTTTTTTAAAAATTGCAGATTAAAAGAGAAAGCAGACAGATTGCACTTAATGAAAGAACATCTGTGAAATGAATAAACTGCTTTTGCCTTCCATGCTAAAAACCATCTGCCCTAATTAGGAAGTTACAATCATTAAAAAGCAGCAACAGGTAGAAGCGCATTTACCAAATGTGGGTTTACGTTTTTGGTTTCATATTTGCCTGTCTTCAGAATTTTCTAACAAATATAAATGAGACAACTAATATAGCCCTGAAGAGGAAATTCCAAAACTATGGAACCACTATTAAAAAAATAATAATAATTTTGATTTCTGCAAACAGAACAGACCAGAAAGGTTTCTAATGATAACCTTAATATTCCAAATTCTCCCATCTGAATTTCTCCCTATCTTTGCAGTTTTAAATTACCGGTCTTCTTTGCAGAGCAGTACCATAGTGTTATTGGTCCATGTTCTTCTGGCTTTGATTTCTAAATTTTATTTACTCTGCAGCTTTCTGTTCTTCCTGCATGTTCACCATGTCTTGCTCTGCATTACCAGTATGTTTCGGTGGAGGCATTTAGTGATCAGTCCCTTTGCCAGAATGTGCTCGGATGCAGTGCGTGCATACCAATTGCTTTTGATATTTGCATTAGTAAATTATCTATTTTAAAATAAGCTAGGTAAAGTGGAATGTGGCTGAGGAGTATCATTTTATATGTTGCTGCTTTGACACTTGCCAAATCTGGGAATGATGCTGGCTGCGATTAACATGGCAGGAAAAATCCAATGTTAGGCTGATATGATTCCTTGGAGTTGTTCACAGAAGTGCATTCTCACAGTTGTACTCAAGCCATGAATACTCACTGCAATCTCACGGCTGTTGGACTCCAGCCATGAATCTTATTTGTAATCATAGCAGCTTGCAGAAGTAGGTACTCAAAACTAAAAATGTAACAGTAACAGGAGATTCTCTTTCTAGGCCAAAGGTGTTCTCAATAAGAGTTTAAATTTTCTGACCTTTTGATCGTGCTTCTCTTCCAGCCCTTTTTGCAAAATATCATGGAATGTTCTTGTCTGCTCAAATGTCACACAATGCTTCTTTGTAAAGTAGATACTCCCCAAAAAAAAAAAAAAACCCACACAGAGGTTAAGCATTTAAATCTTGTGTGTGTTTTGAAATGTGCTTGCCTAATCCTAGTTAATTTGAAAGATCTCTCTTTTTTAATCCTGCATTGCTTTGACATGTGAACTTTCTTAACTGTTCCTGAACATGCAGTCTCCAGGAACATTGTAATAGATATAGATGATATAGATATAGATATAGATATAGATATAGATATAGATATAGATGTCGATATAGATATATAGATAACAGCAATTCCTGAATTGTTAAGAGAACTCATCCATAGTTTTGGTAACTGTTAATGAGCATGAGATTGACAGAGAGAGGTAGGAAAGAAGAAAAATCTCCCAATTCAGACATGCTATTCACCTTGGCTGATATGTAAACACAACTACTGATTTTAAGGAAAGGAAGGAAACAATATTTGGAGAGGGAGGATAGGAAAGTGTGAATCAACGCTAATCTGATTTGTATTGTTTCATTCAGATTGTAGGTTTGTTCAACTGGATTCGTCCAAATAATCCAGTTTGATCCAATTTGATTCAGAAAATCAGTTTGATTCAGAATCAGTTGAATGAACTTCAAATTGAACTTCTGAGCTGAAACTCTGCCTAGTGCTAGTAAGGGAAGTGTTTGGAAGAGAATTCTCCAAGGCACCAGGCTGACTCCCCAGAGTTTTCAGTGGAAAGCTCTTTTTGAGCTAATATGAGAAAAGCTGATTTTTAAGCAACCTTATCTTCTAAAAAGCAAGGTTGAGAGTCATCCTGGAAATTTGGAAGAATTGGCAGCTAAAGCAGCTCATTTGCTTGATCTCACCTGACTATTGGTAGGCTTTATGATTTTGTCCAAGTTCTTACGGTGTATCCTTCCAATTGTTAGTTGGGCAGGAGAAATTGGAATTGGAATGAAAGAAGTTAAAGATACATTTGGTACAACAGTTATTTATAGTTATTTGTGGCTTTCTCCACAAAGTTAGACTGTATGAGGAAGAAAGGAAAAGAGAGAGAGAGAGAAAAGTATGTTTTATATGCCAGCAATAAGCTTCTTAATGATATAATGAGACAATATATTCTTTCAATCATCTATTCATTTCTTTAGCTATCATTTCACCCACCACTATTTAGAAAAGCATTTGTATACTGAACTCCAGGAAAAAAACAAAACAAAACAGTAGCCTTCATTAATATTTTCCTATGTTATACAGTAAATGGGCTATATAGGCTTAGTGGGCATACCTAGCAGTTGAGGACTGAGATAGCATAGCACTGTGCCAGGAAAAGCCCTATATGTTGGCCATCATTTGCACAGCTAGGTCAAGCGCAGCCTTTGAAGGGCCACCAACAACATCAGATGGTAGAGCAAGAAACAGGGTGGAGATGAGCGGAAGAAAAGGGATTCCCCACCTTCCAAGAACTGGAAAAACAGATCCATCAAGCTAGCCAGATCTCTGTCTGCCAAGGAGTTGAGATCATTAATAAGGCAGAAAAACAGTACCCCAGCCTTCCACTATGGTTCTGTTCAGACCACCATTGCACATAACCTGAACAAATTAATAGAGGAGTATTTTGTAGCTGGCTGAGTATACTAGTGGTCATTTTTGCGAGTTTTTTTTTTCCATTCCATGTTGATCCCATGCACTATGTCAGCTCTAACTGCAACTAGTCTACCTTTGTTTCATTTATACAACTTTGAGCCTTAAATATTCCAAGATGTTCTTTGCCAGTATAAGGTTTTGTGCGCCCTTCATTAGAGTGTACTTTTAGCCATTTATCCTCATTTTGCCCAGTGTCAATCTACATCTCTCTGCCCAGAACCAATTTGCCTTTCTCTGCCAGAGTCAGATTGTCTTTCTTTGCCCAGAGTTTATCTGCCAGTTCACCTATTTCATACTGTTATATAGTGCCAAGCTCACAATAAAAATCCACAAACTATCTGTTTAAAATTTGGTGTGGGAATTCTTCATAGGAGAGGTTGCTAAAACATTTATCTTCATCACGTCATGTGTCATCATATTAAATTCCAAAACAACAAACTTACAGGCACTTTCTAAAGTCACTACTTCAAGCAGCTTGGCATGGTTAGTCTCCTTATAGAGGTAGCTTGCTTGATAGTTTCATCCTATGCGGTTGAAAAACAAAGTTATAGCAATTTGCATTTTTTCCATGGCATACTATGGGCAAATGGAACTCCATTTTTATCAGGCTTTATCAAGACAGTGGCACTGAACTATCTCTGGAGCAATTTCTACCTGATTGGGACATTTGTGATGCTTTGGATTAGGCCATTGAACCAAATCATGGGCTTCTGAATTCTCCTAGTACAAAATTAATAATCCATTACAACATTTCTCCAATATCCTCGACGCTTCCCAAAATTCTGCACTACAGCACTGACGATTCTCAAGAACATAGTCAGAAGTGAAGATGGCCTCTTTTCTGACTGGAAGCCCTGAGAAAAACTCTCTTCAGGGAGAGTTTCACTGGAAGGACCAACACCTGGATCCAACCAAATCTGTATTTTTGAAGATGTGCTAATTTGCATGAATATACTGCTTAAATATTAAGATTTCATTACAGACGTCAAGCTATTACTTGATCAACCTTCTAAATTAGATTTTTTTCCCCCTATAGGGATACAATGATGGATATGGGGGTGAATATGATGAACCAAGTTATGAAGCCTATGACAACAGCTATACTACACAAACACAGAGGTAAGTACTCATTATTTTAATGACAAACTGCCACTGAGTTTCCTTAAATTTCTGATTTAACTCTTAATTCCACCATGGGTTGTTTCTGGAACAACTTCTTAACATATCTCAGTTCTTATCATAAGATGTTTTTCCACAGTATTAAAACATCACATTTCATAGTGCAATGACAGTCAAAATGGAAACATGTTACCTTTTCCAAAATCAGGTCAAAGGAGAGAGCTCCTCGTAAGTGGGCTATCATTTCTGCCCAGATATAGTATCCCATTCTCTTCCTCCTAAAAGACTACGTGACAGCAGACTAGCCTCAGGAAAAACAAAACAAACAAAAAACCCCAGCATTATAGCAGACAGCAATATTTGAATCTGAAAGTGTGATTTAATATATATATAACAAATTGTTACTGCAAGTTATAGATGAAAACATGGTAGATACACAAGACTGTACACAAAATTTCATTCCCAGAACCATGAAAACCTATACATGTTGGAAATCAGGAACAGAATCAGATTCAAAAACATCATGGGAATCTTGCAAGATCAGAGACTCGGGGTGGCATACATAAGAAAGCAGAGTCTAAGGATGCAGGACAGGAAGTCAAGAGTTGATAAGGTAGTTTTCAACAGAAAGCAGTTTGTTGCTCAACAAGAGCAATACGTTTGCTACTCAAGAAAATAACTGAAACTGAATACTGATAACTTGAAACCTAACATGGAAAGGATAAATAATTCTTTTGTACATTGCTATAATGAGCTGTGAGAATACCTTTGAAAGACAGGAGAAAGAATTGCAGCCTAGACAATGGTTTGGTAAACAAAATCTGAGTCCAAACAGAAATGTAATTTGAGAAAACATTTGACCCTCCCTAGTTCTCTGGAACATACAGGCAGAGAACGGGGGAAGCGCTTTCAGACTTGCAAGATTCTGTTACTGTAACCTTACAAGAAAAGTAGTATTAGTATTCATGATTTTGGCCTGCTGGTCTGGACTACCTCGAAGGGTTGACATCAATCTTGCAAGTCTCAAGCTCTCTTTCTAGAGAGGCAGAAGATCCCACTTTGGCTTCTAGAGATGGCCTCCCATCCCCAGGGTACACCCTATCCACTGAACGCCTTGCTGCAGTTGCATTACATTGCTTTTCAAAGTTGCATTACATTGCTTTTTTTCCTTTGCAAATACAAGTATGTTAATACTGCTCCAATCTGTCCTACTATAACAGGGTCACCCAGATATTTTTGTTAACTATCCCTCTCATTGGGAGCAATGTTTATTTGTTTTATTATTACATCCGTATAATACCTTTCCTGTAGAAGCTTCAGGTTTTGCACACGAGGCCTCCTGTCATTTCCCAACAAAAGCCTTGAGGTTTGTTAGGTTTAACAGATAGTGCCTTGCCCACAAATGGGCCACACAGATTGAGACGGGGGCAAAAAATGTACGACTATAAGCTAGATCTCACTTTGGAGGAGTTGCCCCACCTGCCTAGAAAAATAATGGAGGCTGCACTGGTAGACATCACACTGGGGGGAGAAAGTAGTTAAGTGGGATTGCCATGTAGTAAATGCCATGTAGTAAATGAATATTGTATGACTGTCTACATCCACAATGGAAACCATTTTGTGGGAGAATCCACATCTCTCAAAATCCAAATGTGCCTGCCAACCTCCAACATATTTGGAAAACTGTGAATGAAAGTAAGACATGACTCGACTACAAATCTAAAACATAAAGAAATCATTGTTTCTCAAAGCAAAGCAAGGTGAACCGTAACAGACTGATATAGGCAGAAGTTCAAAAATATGGTATATGCAGGCCATTATCCTGTGTTCAGGAAGGCCTTAGTTCAAAGCAAAGAAGCCAGCGGTTCTTTAATCACCACAATGGGCACCTAGCCAACTCATCACAGACTCCTATCCAACTTCTTAAGAACCAACATAAATATGATGCCGGAGTGGCTGGAGAAAGAATTACAGACCCAGTGTGAGACCTGAATCCTGATACTCAGTATATTTTGCCCTAGTGAGTGCATAAACCTTCTTGAACAGTGGTATTGTTGGCTCCTGACTTTCACACATAATATCAGAAAAGGGGGGGAGGAGATGACAGAAGGGAGAATTCAACCATTTGTAGCATTTACAAAATGATTACATTAGAGAATGTGCATGTCCAAAGCAGAGTGGAGATCATTTTGAACAAAGAAATAAATAGGGACCTTGTGTTTTGTTGAAGATAAAATATCTGTCCAACCCTTCCTGTAAAGGAAGGTGTAGATGGATTCCAAGTATCAGGGGGACAATGGTCAGTTATTGAAATCACATATTAATAACTATGTAATAGCTTGCTGTAGAATACACACAGTAATATTCTCCGTAAAACAGAATCACGTTGATTCAATAATTCAGCTTTATTGGAAGGCTCAAGACAGCAGCCAACCACTGAGATTGAATTTACAATCAGTTATTGAGTTTGAGGGATTTTCTCCCCAGTTATATTATTTCCATCCTGTTATTATGTTCGTGCCATTTGCTAGATTGCTGCACGGCATGAGCGCCATTTCTTAAGAGTTTTAAAGCCTTCACCAAGGCATTTGGAATCTTTCACTGTTTGTTCATCTGGAGTCCAATAAAACTTTCATCTAAATCAGGAACAGAATCAGTTCTTGTTACCACATTAAGTGTGAAGCAAGGGCCCTTGAAGTTGGGTAGAAGGGAGAATTTCAGCAGGCCCGATTTTTCCTTTGCTGCCAGCAGTATGGCACCATTTTTTATCTATTTGGCATTTATATAATTGTTTCAAATTTGTTCGGAAGTTATTGTTTTTGTTTTAAGAGAGAGACAATCAATAGAAAAAAGTTGGGCAGTAATAACTGGAACATAGTCAGGAAATATCCAGCTCATGCGTAACGAGGAAATTGTAGGAGGAGAGTCATGCTAGTCCACAGTGGCAAAAAAATCAGAAGACTGGTAGTATCTTTTCCAGCAAATACATTTAATTAAAAGGCATAAGCTTTCGTGGGCTGCAACTCACACATCAGATGCATACAGTGGCCAGACTGATGTAGGATTTAAATTGAGGTGCAGGAGGGGAAATGGGAGAGGGAAGAGGGGAAAGGGAGGGGGAGATAGATGGTTATGCAGATGCAGGTTACCTGTAAGTCAAAAATTAAAGATCTCCCAAGTCATGATCAGCTAGAGAACAGACCTAAGGGATTTGCCCTTTTGCCATGACACAGGACTGGGCTCAGTTCCTATTGAGATTCATTGAAAATATAATTACAGGTAGCCCTTGTTTAGTGACCACAATTGGGATTGGCAACTTGGCCGTTAAGCAAAGCAGTCACTAAGTGAAACCGCAACTGTGGTTACAATCTTATTTCAGCTTGCCTTTGCTTTACAGACCTGCAAAGGTCATAAATGAGAGGATTGGTCATAAAGTTAATTTTTCATCACCGTTGTAACAGCAAACAGTCGCTAAATGAGGCAGTCACTAAGTGAGGTCTACTTGTACCCTCTTTCTGTAGTGTGTATCCCTAACAGGAGGATGCATTACACTGGCAACCCAGAGGACTCATTAGAAGATCACATTGTTAGTTACCAGTATTCTTTTGGCCTTCCATTGTTTAATGATGGACAGAGGTCTTGTTGGGAGGTGGGAACAGGGAAAGAGACAGGGATTGCTGTGGGACCACAAATGCAACTTTGTACATAGAAATATCTATAGTCCAAATTATAAACCAGAAATTGGTTTTGCCTACATGTTTTCTATCTTTTTTATGTAATTCTCCTACATGCTATAAAGCATGCCAAGTGGTCTCTAAGGTTTATTGCCTAGATGAAAATTGTATCCTCTTGTGAGCTTTGATTCTAGGAGCAAGAGATAATGCTCCTGTACCTCCGTGTGACAGATTACATCCCACCTACTTTATTGCATACAAAAAGGGATAATGAAATTCTGCCTAGAGTGCAAGGTATAGAAAAGAGGACCTGGCTTGATATACAAGATAAACAATTTTTATTTTTCTCAATTTCAGTTTTCAAGTATTGCCTCGTATGAGTAGAAGTCACTATGAATTATGGAGATGATGAATTCTGTCACTAAGTCGAAGTTTTAAATAACTTCCAATTTTTATTTTTATTTTTTGCTTCAGAATTCTGGCTGTCTTCCTACCCATTTCAATGCACTGTCTTGTGAACAGCTGCATATGAAACACATAACTAATTGGGACTTGATATGGCTCCAGAGAGGCCTGTTAATCTTTTCCATTTATCAGCATTCTGGAGGCAAAAGCACCAGAGTGTGCTGGACAATATAAACTCTGGTGCATGATAAACACCCACAATATAATTTAATCAAGTGAGTTCACACAATGACCCTGCCACACTTAAGTCAACTAATAGACTTCTTCAAATTTGGTTCAGACTTCTCCCTCAGATGGAGGATGTCTCTGTAAAGTGGTAACTTTGGACAGGATTAGTATGTGGGACATAAGTGTTTTTAAGAAGGGAAAGTGTTCTTGTGTATCCCTATCTTGATGTCATTTCCTGTAGTCCTGTTTTAGAGCTACTTCTTCACATAGTCATCAGAAAGAAAAGTGCCCAGAGAAGTTAGATCAAACCAAAGCACTCCCACTTCCAAAGACTGTATGTTTTATACAGTTCTTCCAAGTGTATATCCTTAATCAGCCTGTGCAAACTTGCCACAGCTTCTCCTCCATGGAATCACTTCAATAGCAGCAAACATTAGTTCCATGTGTATAATTTTGAAGCATTACAATCAAGGAGGTTAGACATGTGTTATGAGACTGCAATGGCTGCTAGTAGCATGGTTGCACTGACTTCATAAATTAGATAAACTTTAGCCAATCTTCGTAACGTTTAAAAATGTCAAAGTTAATGGAATGGTTTTAGGGGTATGTTATGGTCCTTATTTTTGTTGTTGTTCAGCCGTTAAGTCATGTCCTACTCTTCGTGACCCCATGAACCATATTATGC